AAATATGGGGTTGTAGATCTCGAAAAGATCTACAACCCTAAATATATATATATTTTTTAATTTTGTTTCGCCCCTGGAAGTTGGTTTCTAACTGACAGGAGCTCACCGACCACGGCTTAAATGCCACTACAGGTTGACGGAACGAGTTGCCGGCCTACGGCATTCAGTTCAAACGGGCTCGAGCGTTGAAGAGCGGTAATTTTGCGGAAAGGACCTAAGACGTAAGCTATCAACGAACACAAAGAGGCTACTACAGCGGACAACTACCGAGGGGTTGGACGAGAGGGTACGGCCGTGAAAGATCGAGACGATACTAGTGGCCGGCGAAATGGTCGAGGGAACGGAAGCACCGGGCATTTATCGTGAGGCTATGGGCGTTTTGAGCGGTGACTGTGTCCGAAGTTGCCTCGACACCCTGCGTGAACGAGCGGTGGGATTGGGCCTACGCGGGGGGCTCGACACTAAGAGGAGAACGGTGCGGGCCTAGGACTCGGAGGTGGGCCTCCCGGCCTAGAATTTTGGGAGGGCCCGCATGACTTTTACAAGGGGGGCTGGTACCACTTATGAGTGGGGACCACCAAGGCCGAGATAGGCCCGCGGCAGGTTCGGAAATAGATCCGGTACCGGGGCGCTGCAAAAGGCCCGGTTCCCGACAAAAAGGCCCCCCTCGACAAAAATTGTTCGGGGGCCTAATCAGGCCCGGGCACAGGTTCGGTACCAGGGCGCTGCAACTTCGTACGGCCGTCGTCCGTACGCGCGTACGGGCGTCCGTCCGTCCGTCCTTACAGGCCGTACGAGGACCCCCCGTAGGACGTACGGGCGACGACACAGGCGTACGGGCCGTACGTACGGGTGCCTGCGTACATACAGGCGTACGTGTGCGCCGTCTGCGGCCGGTGCGCCGTGTCCCCGCCCGAAGATGTCGCCGCCCTTTGTCGCACCACCGCCGCCGTCGCCGGAAACGTCGTCATCGCAGCCGCCTCCCTTAGCAAGGTTCACCTTAGAGAACGCAAGATCGAACAATGAGGAAGATTAGAGAACATTTCTTTAACATCAAACGAAGCCCCTATCACCTCCTCCCCTTCCTTCAGCCCAAGGTTCACCTTAGCTAGACATGCAAGCAAACCATCAGCACTGCGCAGATTGAGATTGGTGTCCTGAGGCAGACTCCAGAGCAATGTATTCACCGCCCGAGATACGATCCGACCCCCAGATGATGAACACTCCGAATAGTAAGGGCAAATAGGCCTCCATCGGGCCGTATCCTTGTGTTTTGGTATGCAGTAAGCGTTCCCGATGCTCCCCTCCTTGTTCCACTTACCAACGGACTGCAAACCCATCTTGGAGTACTTCCTTTGACATTCAACCAACACAACACTCTCGTCCACCGCACAGTGTTCAAACGCCGGATTATCACAAAACAACTTACTCATGCCTGACTCATAGACAACTGGGCAGCACACAAAGGTGTCTCCCATGTTGTGATCAATGGGACAGCACACAAGATTACGAAATAGGGTGCGAACAGGAAGAAGAGCGTCCTCACAGATAGAACTAGAGACTAGAGCAGAATCCTTGTTGACAAAACAACCACGAACGCCCTCATCAGACAGAGAAAGAGGGTCAACGACAGGTAAAGACGGATGAGCAGAGAACCCTGAGAGAATCTGGGACCGTAAAGATCCAATAGAGCGTGCACTTGAAGGGCGCAGGAGATTCTTAGAGTTTTTGAGCCAACTGGGAAGAAAGCCCAAATCGTTCATGTGGAGAGACACATGGCCGGCAATCCGTGGGAGCGAGGAATCACACTCAGCACAGGTACAAGACGAATGCTCAATTCTGGCGAAACGGCGGAAATTGTGGAGACAGTCCCCAACACTTGTTTCTACACCACACGATTCTCATACGACGGATCAGCATGCGTCTCCACTCGGGACCTATGTCCATTTGCTCAACAACATTAGCACAAAGTCGTTGAACCTTCGCTTTACTCAACCGATCGTCAAAGATGATTCGAATAACAATACATTTCCGAACACGAATACCAAACCGCTGAAAGGCGCAGTGTGAGAGAAGACATCTTAACCGAAATCTGGTACGTTTCTCGCTGAAAGTACGAACCGCCGTGTCGGCGACAACCAACTCCTCGCAACTCCACTTCTTCAGCAGACTCCTGCTACTCGGATCTCGTAAAAAACTCGCCAGAGGCACCTTCAGAGTCAGGGAACGACTGAGAAAGGGAACAATTGTTTCAAAGACTAAAATAGTTCCCCCACGAATCCATCCTCTCGCATGACAAAGTTCAACCCTACCGTGCGAACAGGACACAATACTTCCTCCATAGAGACGCTTCAAGACTTTCCAACGATCAAGAAGAAGATCCCCTCCCGAACACTTGACAACAGTACTGACTTCCGATCTAGAGACACAAGCATTAAGGATAGAAAGCAGACTCCTACCCACCGTGCCATCCGGAGCCAAGAAATTCACAAAGCAACAATTGTGATTACCAGCAAAGTCCACAGTAACACGATCAATATTCACAACACATCTCTTCCTTGCCCTCAGCCTTTCCCTCCGCCCCAGTCGACATTTCAGTGAACGCCGCGGTTTGTCCCTACAATTGAGTGCAGGTGAGAGCAGTCGGATAAAAAACCTCTCAGTGGTAAGCAAATCATCGGGACAACACTTACAAAGTGGGATACACACATAGGTATGAGCACCACACCTACGAAGCCATCGGTACAAAATCTCGTTCCTACGACCACCCTCAGTCAACGCCGACTTACAGGCCCGGTAGACATGTTCCCTCCACCTACTTTTCAGATCACGTCCAGTGCTCCCAACATAGAGATGTCGTGTCCACGGAGAGAATAAAACATAGACAACAGGACCATTCCAATCTTCATCAACGAAATTACCTCAAGATAGAGAGTGCAGAAAAAACTAATTAACTTAGATCCCCAGGGAATTTGTCCCGCCAGAATCAATCCACATACCGCAGCACAAAAGAGGGCATTCAGATGCGTACATCTTAGCAACTCAGCGGACTCAGAGCGAAGAAAACAGCACAGACGTACTACCTCCCACAAAAAGGCCGCGTTCGGGCATGACCCTAGGAAACAGCGGAATCACGCCCATCATCTTCTGAGTCTTTCTCATCGTCAGAGACTACATGAGTCGAAACCTCTTTACCTTTGCCTAGGTCAGCCCCTCTGTCATCGAAGGCTCGTGACGTACGCTTCTGAGCTATAGCTTCTTTAGTGGGGTCCAACGTAGTGTACGTGACACCCTCTTTCTCGCAAATAGAGATCACCTCCTCCTTCTTCTTTCCACGAAGTTGTTTTCGTGCCGCACGCAAAAAGGCATCCTTGGAATTAAGGTCAACGTCCTTTTCGGTCGACTGTGCAAGACCTGCAACGTCGCTTTTCTTCGTCTTCCTTGCCGAAGGTCCTGCAACCTCGTCAAGCCTAGTCTTCAAATTGCTGCGCGTCTTTGCACGGTTCTCCATTTCCAAACGCTTCATTTCTTCCTTTAGTCGTTCAATCTCCAGCTCGCTCTCCTTCCTAGCGTTGACTTCCTTCAAACACATTTCTTTCAAAAGTTCAACCTCCTTCTGATGGCGTTCTACAATCCCCTTCAGATGTTCGTCAACCCTTCCTACCGTACATCGTGTTGCAGCAAGTGTCAACCGAGGTCTCAATCTGGTTTGTGTCATTGGAGTAGGCCCAATCACCACGCCTCCTCTCTTGTTCCCTGGACGTAACGCCTCGGCTTTCCAGGTTTCGGCATTCGTCTCCGCCTCTTCACACTGTCGTTGCGAAGCGTGGATAACCTCCTCCATGGCAGCAAGGCGTTTGTCCATAGCCTTCTTGAGCTCAACCTGCTCGTTATGAAGACGAGCCACCTCCTCCGCCTCGGACGAAGGCTTCGCAACCTCAGAAGAAGTGCTAGCAGTGGCAGGCCGCTTCTGGAGCTCCTCGATTCGTGCCTTCAATTTGGCTACCTCATCGTTTTCCGCACTTTTCTTTCTGTTAATAACCTCATACACCCGATCGAGCTTCACAGACACCTCCTTATTCATTTGCGCCTGAAATTCTTCACGCTCCTTCTTGTCACGTCATCTTCTCTCCTCCTCCTCACGTTCACGCTTCCTCCGTTCCTCTTCTTCACGGGATGCTCGTTCTCTCGCCTCATCAGCGTCATGTTTGACTTTGATCTTCCCCACAATTTCTTCAAGAGAAGAAACTCTCCTTCCCAAATAGCCACCCGCATTAGAATAGCCATTGAAGGACGGAACCGCAGTACCTACATTAGACTGAGACGTAGGATCAGGGGGAACGGTCAGTAACGGAGACTGGACAGGTACTATAGCTGTACTCGTCGAAGGCCGGTTGCCGTTCAGACGACGATCAGGATAAGGACAAAATCTGGATATATGACCGCGTTGCCCACAATTGTAGCAATCCCGCATATCGTTCATATTCAAGTTGGATGCCATCATGAATAGAGTCGAAGCCACACAACCGCAGTCTAATTTCTACGTCGGTTACTCCGTGAAATCAAGTGTATTGCCTAAGCATATACCGGTCACAGATGGCTGTAAACGTGAAATGAAATCCACACGAGAGAGATAGCAAAGCAGACTCAGCAGACAAGCAAGGAGAGGGAAAGAAAGGGAGAAGGAAGAAGAAAAGAAACCACGACGACGCATGTCCCGAACGCGACTTTATTTTTAAAAATTAAACTTGAAGCTCGGACATGGTGGATGACCCTACTAGTTTCACCCGGCCGCCAACCAGGATCATCAGGGGTCTTGAAGTCGGTACAGTAACATTGGTCGTCGGACTTATATACAGACACCTCTAACAAGCAACTAAAAGAGTCAATCCGGGCTTGGCCAAGGGCCTCGCTGCACTACTCTCGAAATGTGCAAAACGGGAGTGAATCTTCCGCTAGAATATGGAAAGATACACGACCATGATTTTTGTCATTTGTGCATGTGGAGAGTAGTGCAGCGAGGCCCCAAGGCTTCTCGCCCGAGATCAAAAAAAAAAAAGATGGGCGTTTTTTTCTGACTTTTTTTTTTTCCTCGGGCGTGACCGACGCATCTCGTTGCGTGGCTGGGTCACTGCCGAGATGCGTCGGCCACACCCAATATTTCTTTTGAAAAATGGGATAATTTGCAAAATACCCCCATAAGCTGAAATACATGCCAAAATGCCCCTAAACGACGAATGCCCCTCTGACAATTTTTTTTTTTGGTGAAATAGCCCTGGGGTCGGTTGGACCCCCATCTCTGCAGTGTACCCCTACTGGGTACTGTCCAACTTTGCAAAATGCCCCAGTACTTGCCAACTTTTCCTAGGTGCTATTGCAAAAGGCCAAGGCCCAAAAGGTGAGGTCCAGACTCCAGATTGCACAGTTGCACACTCCAGATTGCACAGTTGCACAGCACAAAGATTTGGGCCCAAAAGGGCATTCCGCTCTGCCCACATCTTTCAGGGGCATTTTGGCATATATCTCAACGTTTGAGGGTATTTTAAAAATTATGCACCCCCTCCAAAAAAAAGGAAAAAAAAAAAAAAGAAAGCACGGCCACGTGCCTGACTCGATTGCAGTTACCAACTCCGTGGTGCGACTTTTCCGCAAAGCGGAGTTTCGACTGAATTGAAAACTTCGGACCGGACTGGACTGCAAAACGGCAATTTGAAACCAATCTATGGTTGCTGACCTTTGTCCCCTGTCTTTATCTATGGCCAGAAATTAATAGTCTAGGAAGGGAAAAGTCATAAAACCTCCCCGCGATGAAACCTTCGTGTAAAAATGACGCCAAAAGTGATTTTGGGAGCTGTGGCACTTTTTTCCGTGTTTGGGGGGAAACGGATACTGTATACAAAGGTTTCGTCGCCGGGAGGTTTTATGACTTTTCCCGTCTAGGAACTGTCGTAACGTTTATCTACAGCCAGAAACGAATAGTCCAGGAAAACCGCCCGCTCGAGGGGATACTGCCATAAGCAGTTAACAGGGACCCCCCTGAAAATCCTGAAAACTGAAAAGAGTGAATTTTGCATAAAAACACACTTTTGCCTTGCTGTTTTATAGGTTTCTAAAGTTTTTTTTTCCCTTTTTTTTTTTGGTAAGTAGTTAGTATGATCTCCACTCTATGAATTGGTGGCAAGTTGGTTAAAATCACCCTTGGGCTTTGTTATAAATGGCCTGACAAGTGGTCTGAAAATTGAGGCCTCCGTTAACTGTCTCTGTTTCTTTTTCTCTTGCCCTGTTTTATTTTTGGTCAAGGTCTGTGTGTGCCAAGTTTGGTGTTTGTTGGGGTCTTGGAGTTGACTGTTTTGGCTAGCCCGTTAAGGCTCTAGGTGTGAGGTGTGACCCAGGAGCCGTTGCCAAACTGCTCTTGAGTCACCTTTTTAGTTTGGAATAGGCAAGAAAAGAGAAACTGGAACTAATGTCATCGTTTGAGTTTCAAAATGTGCAAGTTTAGCTGGGGTTTGAAACTGTGGCCATTTTTTTTGAAGTGGCGCAAATGCAGATTTAGCCGTGGCTTTTTTTGCCCTGTTCCGAGAACTGCTAAAGCTGCCTATTCCAAACTCTAGGTGTGACCCAGGAGCCGTTGCCCCTTTGTTTTTTTTTTTTCTTGTGTTTCTGAAGCATGTGTGTTTTCTTGTGTTTCTGAAGCATGTGTGTTTACATTACCTTTTGAATCCACCGGCCCCAAAAAACACTAAAGGCCCAAAAAAGGGCAACAAAGGCACGGCCCAAGTTAGAAAAGGCAGAAATAAAAGCAAAAGGTTTAACCGTTTAAGGCAGTAACTTCAGGGTCTTCAGGCCCCGAGTTCAGAGAGAGCACTGGCGTCATGGACACTTTGGTCCCAGCCCGTCCCAGGCCGTCCCAGCCGTCACAGCCTCTCACAGGCCCCGTTTTTAGAATCCACACTGGACTGACGTCCAATGTGGTCCCAGGACTCCCAGCCCTGCCTGGGGCCCCAGGCCATACCAGGCATCATTGGTGTGTGACTGGGGATGGCCATCCACCGGGCCGAATGTGTGTGTGTATGTGTGTGTGTGTGTGTGTGTGTGTGTGTGTGTGTGTGTGTGTGACACAGAGAGAGAGAGAGAGAGAGAGAGAGAGAGAGAGAGAGAGAGAGAGNAGAGAGAGAGAGAGAGAGAGAGAGAGAGAGAGAGAGAGAGAGAGAGAGGTTGGCCCGTAACAGCAGGGTCGCACGTGCTGCCATGTGCTCTCTGTCTCTCTCTCTCTCACCCGATCATGCTCATGTGGCAGCACCGCAGCGCGGCCCGCTACTGAATTTTCTGCCGGGCATTCGCGCGTCATGGAGAGAGAGAGAGAGAGAGAGAGAGAGAGAGAGAGGCACCCCGTGTGACGTGCTCTCTCTCTCTCTCTCTCTCTCTCTCTCTCTCTCTCTCTCTCTCTCTCTCTCTCTCTCTCTCTCCCCCTCCCTCCCTCCCTCCCTCCCCCCCTCCCCACATGACATGCGAATGCCCGGCAGAAACATCAGTATCAGCCTATCAGGACGCCAGACGTTCGGGTCGATACTGATACTGATTTTTCTGCCGGGTATTCACGCGTCATGGAGAGAGAGAGAGAGAGAGAGAGAGAGAGAGAGAGAGAGAGAGAGAGAGCACGTGGCACCCCGTGCGTCCCTGCAGCGATGTGCCACCCTCTCTCTCTCTCTCTCTGTCTCCTCCCCCCCCCTCAGGCTCATGACACACGAATGCCCAGCTGAAAAATCAGTCTCGGGATGCCAGACTGCGTTTCATTCATTCCAACGTTCCAGGAACGTAGCACACTGCCACGCGCTGGCACGTACGCTTGGGCGTGTGTGTGTGTGTGTGTGTGTGGTGAGAGAGAGAGAGAGAGAGAGAGAGACGGGCTCGAGGGCCAAGGGGAGGTGGGTGGGCAAACAAACAGCACAAAACAGTGAGGCACGAAAGACAGTGCAGCAAAAGATGTAGGCTGGAGCCTGGAGGGCATGGGGGAGGCGGGTGGGCAGACAAACAGCGCAAGGCAGCAAGGCACATAGGCTGGATGTAATGGGCAGGCAAACAGCTCAAGGCAACAACGCATACCGGGTGAAATACATAGGGTAGGCAGATGGGCAGGCAAACAGCATAAGGCAGCAAAGGAACGATAGCAAGTCAAACAACAAGAAGGCAAAAGCAGCAACCGAAAAAAATAAAAATATAAAAAAATCGAAGGCTGAAGAAAATAAAAGCTGATGATAGATTATTTCGTCAGAGTTGCACCAACTCATCAGGAGACAGGAGACAGGAGACAGGAGACAGACACAGGCGACGAACTGACGCCAGGGAGAAAACAGCTCACCAAGAGACGAAGTCAGATCCGAACCAGACAATACATGTTGTCCCCAAGAGAAATTTTCCAAGCCCAGCTTGTCGGAACAAGGCGAAAAATCCTCGACCGGTTTCTGTTGTCCACCACCAACTCATTAGGAGGTGCTCGAAAGAGCTTCTGTTCCAAGAGAGGGAGAGCCTAGCCTTGCTCTCCATCTATATACGTGAGTCCAATGGGTGATCCGTATCTTCTGTGCTACTGTTCATGCGTTCACGACGTCGAAGGTCGCCGAAAAACTCTCC